TTTCTGGCAGACCGCAGGTTTTGTTGCACGGCCGCAATTTCCTTTCGAGAATGAGACAATTGATTTGTTACACCAATACTTTGCAAAGCAGCCTGGCAAACTTGCCACTGGGACCATTTTGAAATTGCCCAGCTCGAGCAGTCACACCGGAACCAGAAGATCTTGACCATGACCCTGAGCTCCATAGACGAGGATATATGCGAGTCGTCAAACTGAGACACAACTGACAGTTGGTGAATCCTCGGGATCGCTGGTATGGTGGACCTTCATTTGCAGTTTGTTTCACAGGCTATGCGTCTTAGTGACCGGCCTTGCGTGTTGTGGTGTTTACAGGCTATGCGTCTTAGTGACCGGCCTTTCAACTCTCTCCAGTCACGTGTGCAGGTGTGTTCGCTTAGGCCGGCACACTTGCACGACTCCGGACTCGGAATCGCAAGCACAGCGTAGGAAACAGCTTGATCTTCCCCATTCCTTTGCGTTACTTGCCAAATTTGAAGCCGGGAAGCCGGGCGGCGAGTGTGGGAGCGACATGGGATTCGGCCATAGTTTTGTGGGAGACACTGGGGCAATCCTGTGCTGACGACAGGATTGAGTGGAGCAATCCTGTGCTGACGACAGGATTGAGTGGAGCAATCCTGCGTTGGCGACAGGATTGAGTGGAGCAATCCTGCGTTGGCGACAGGATTGAGTGGAGCAATCCTGCGTTGGCGACAGGATTGAGTGGAGCAATCCTGCGTTGGCGACAGGATTGACGGCAAGGCGACTCTGGCAGCGATGCTGCGAGAACCATATCACTGGCAGACCTGCCCGCATTTGGCCCGCATTAGGCCCGGTGATGGTTTTTTGGAGGCCCGGCAAAAGTGAGGCAAAAACAAGTGCGATGAAATTACCTAGGTGTGGGAAGCCCCGCCCCCTCTAAAACACACTCTCGCAGCCTCTCGCGCCTCTGCCCAAAAAGACGTAGATCGGCCCCAAGCCCGAAGTTCATCGCTCCCTTCCCGGATTTCATCGAGGCGATGAACTTCCGAAAAAAGAGGCGATGAAACCACCTATGTGTGGACCAGAAGTCATGAGCCATCCGCAGCATCGTTTGGCTTGCAGCCAGCAGACAGCAGTAGTATGTAAAGGGGGCTTTTCCAAGACAAACAAAAATTTGGGTTTTGGGGCGATTTACGGCACTGTTTTTGGCAGAAGTGCGAGAGGCCGCTTCGGCCTGCCAGAGCTGGGCCAGAGCTGGCCTTCCGCTTGTCTGGGCTTCAGGACGGGCAAAATGCGGCCGCCGGATGTCGCGTTCTAACTCGCGCAGTGCTCGTAAAACTGCTCCCACACCACCGGACTCGAGTTGATTTTTTTGGCTACACATCTAATCCAAGTGCTCTATGGGTCTCCGAGCCAGACGCTCTAGCGTCCTTAGATCACGCGGACTGGGAGATGCGTGAGCTGAAGAAGAAGACGCTGTGGGTGATATCCGCTTGGTTTGGCCTTGCCTTACTAAACCAAGCCATACATGGCCAGATAGGTGGCGGGCGTTGTTCGTTCAGCATGCTGTCAGGTACTGACAACTTGGCCACCGAGGTGGGCATCAACAAAATGTTTCCACGTGGCCTTTGCAGCTATTTGTGCAACTCATTGCCTCGTGGGCTCACGCACAAAACGTGCAGTTGTTGCCTGGGCACATACCGGGCCGCAGCAACAAGTGGGCCGATGATCTCAGCAAAACCCGCCTCTCAAAATTCCAGCATCGCCCTGGAGATAGAATACGTTTCAGCCCTGCCAGCCTTGCGCAAAGAGGGCTACGCTCTGCCCTGTAGACGCGCCTTGGCTTTCTCACCCTGTCAGGCGCAACCCGGCTCTGAAGGGGGGGTCATGCCGGCTCCTGAGACTGCTGGCCTTTTCCGTGGTTGCTTGGGAAATAGTAAAGGGGGGGATAATGCTGCCCGTGCACTAGGTGCTACTTTCCAGCAACCCGAGAAAGATGCGCGCCTTCGGTCGGCAGGTTTGTTTGAGGGTCGTCGGGGTTCAAGCTAGGAGCAGTGCAATAGGACGCTTTGGGCTTTCTGTTCCCAAGTGTTTGATGACCTATTTTGAATCTCATGCGCTGTGCTTTGCCTTATTCAAGGCGTTTGCTGATCCAGAGGCTGTAGACGCTCTGCACCTCGCTTCAGCTGTCTAAGGCCGTACCCGCGGTACCTAATGCATCTCGGACCGCAGTCCGGAGATTTGGGCGTGGCATGCATGCCGCGCCGTGCATTCGCACTGCCTTCGCCAGGATACGCCTGTCTGGCCCCGTTTTCAGATTTTACTGGGGGGAAAATGCTGCTGCCCCCTGCAATAGGTGCACCGCGTGCCCTGGTTGTGCTAGTTTCCAGCAACCCGAGAAAAAGATGGCGCGCCTTCGGTCGGCAGGTTTGTTTGAGGGTCGTCGGAGTTCAAGCTAGGAGCAGTGCAATAGGTCTCTAACTTCTCGGTGTATTTCGTTTGCGAAGCAAAACTAGAAGCAATTGACATGATTGTGATGGCGAACCCGAGATTTCGAGCCCAAAATGCAGGCCCCCCCAAAAGCAATGCGAACCCCCTTGACATTTGCAATGCTACCGTCGTGTGTGGATTTGCTGTTTTGATTGGGTTTGCGTGCTGCGGCTTTCTGGTGTTGAGCGCGCGGCGTGTTGCCCAGATCTTCTTTAGCCACCTTTTAATGGTTTTTGGAAGTACATCGCCACCGTCGTCAGTCTTTGGCCGATGCGTGGTACCTGTCGTCGTCAGATTCCGGCTTGCTTACATGAGCTACTAGAATCTTGCCAAACTGAATGTGGTTCATTTTGGCGTGCTTGGTTGCTTGCGAGGTGCTTTACGTTGTATCTTGATAAGTTGTTTCGAGTTTTCCGCATTTTGTTTGTGTATTGACAATGGCACTGTTGGCAGGGACGTAGTTGGGGAGGTGGGAATGGACGATCCTCGCAAACCTCATGTTGCCAACATCGGGTTCCATGTGATGGCATAAAGGTCAAGGTGTTTGCTCGCAGTTTGCCAAAGCCCGCCAGAGGACCTCATAGATCCATCGACTGCAGCCATGGCCCGCTCCTCCAAGGTGGCTGTCGGCTCTGTGCTCGGGGCTGCCACTCTGGGAGGCCTTGCCTTTGTGGCACCAACTGCGCGGCCCGTCGAGGCGGAGTCGCAGGTGGAGACCAGCAGCCAGAGGTTTTTGTCGTCGTCCGCTCCTGCTGGTGCTGCCTCTTCTGCTGCCCAGGGCCTGAGCGGTGCCCTGGCAGTTGGAGGACTGAGCGTGGCCGCCATCCGTGGCGCAGCGGCGGCCTCTCGTCGCAAGGGCATCAAGCCGAGGGCCGCCCAGAACGTGGTGGCATGCAGGTCGCTGGCCAAGCTGAAGATCGACGAGGTTGACCTCAAGGACAAGCGCGTCTTCATCCGGGTGGACTTCAACGTGCCGCAGGACAAGCAGGATCCCAACATCATCACGAACACTGCGCGCATTGATGCCGCCCTTCCCACCATCAAGTACGCCTTGGACAACGGTGCCAAGTCCGTGGTGCTGTGCTCCCATTTGGGCCGCCCGGATGGCCAGTTCAGCGACAAGTTCTCCATGAAGCCAGTTGCCAAGGTGGTGGAGGAGAAGCTGGGCAGGCCAGTGAAGCTCATGAAGGATGTGATCGGAGAGGACGTTGAGGCTGCGTGCGCGGATCCTGAGCCGGGCACTGTGATCCTGCTGGAGAACTCCCGATTCTACGTTGAGGAGACGGGCAAGGGAAAGGACGCGGATGGCAACAAGGTCAAGGCCGATGATGAGCAGGTGAAGACATTCCGTGCCTCCCTTGCCAAGCTGGCAGACATCTACTGTAGTGATGCCTTCGGAACAGCGCACCGAGCACACAGCTCCATGGTGGGTGAGGGCTTCCCTGTGAAGTGCTCTGGTTTCCTGCTCGCCAAGGAGCTGGACTACTTTGCCAAGGTCGTTGATGCGCCCACCAGGCCGGTGTGCGGTATCCTGGGTGGTGCCAAGGTGGCGGACAAGATTCAGCTGATCATGAACTTGTTGGACAAGGTGGACATCATGATCATTGGAGGTGGAATGGCCTTCACTTTCATCAAGGAGGCTGGCGTGGACATTGGCGATTCCCTGTACGATGAGGAGGGCGCCAAGTTGGTGCCTGAGATCAGGAAGAAGGCGGAGGAGAAGGGTGTGGAGCTGATCCTGCCTGTGGACTTTGTGTGCTCCTCCAAGTTTGGCGAGGATGGAGAGATCAAGGATGGCGACATGAGCACCGGCGTGCCGGATGGGTTCCTGGGCCTGGACATTGGCCCCAAGTCCATTGCCATGAACGATGAGGCCATCAAGAAGTCCAAGACCATCGTGTGGAACGGCCCTATGGGTGTGTTCGAGATGGCTTCCTTTGAGAAGGGCACCAAGCAGATGATGGAGACCATCGTGGAGGTCACAAAGGAGGGTGCCGTCTCGGTGATCGGCGGTGGCGACACCGCCACGGCCTGCAAGAAGTACGACACCGTGGACAAGGTCTCCCACTGCAGCACTGGCGGTGGTGCCTCCTTGGAGTTGCTTGAGGGCAAGGTGCTGCCTGGAGTGGCCACCCTGGATGACTCCAAGGCGCTTGCGGATGCATAGGCACATAGGTTAGGCACTTTTAACTCTTGACTCAATGAAGGGTCAAGTGACCACTTCTGCTCATGCAAGAGCAATCTCTAGATTTTCCCTCAGTGCTGCAAACACAGCGCGGGCAGCCAACTTTTCGATAAACTTATTGATGCTTAGCACAAATCAGGAGTCGGTTGCAGTCGTAATGCGCTTCGTGCTTGAACACCTGACATCTTGCGCACGTTTCATGCTTGTATCAGTTTGTCTTGGTTCTTCTTTGAGCATGACTTGACACGTTTGAGGTTCTTGTGAAGCAGAGCACCGGGTGATATCACGTGATGCTCGCAGTTGCCAAAGCCCGCCAGAGGACCTCATAGATCCATCGACTGCAGCCATGGCCCGCTCCTCCAAGGTGGCTGTCGGCTCTGTGCTCGGGGCTGCCACTCTGGGAGGCCTTGCCTTTGTGGCACCAACTGCGCGGCCCGTCGAGGCGGAGTCGCAGGTGGCGACCAGCAGCCAGAGGTTTTTGTCGTCGTCCGCTCCTGCTGGTGCTGCCTCTTCTGCTGCCCAGGGCCTGAGCGGTGCCCTGGCAGTTGGAGGACTGAGCGTGGCCGCCATCCGTGGCGCAGCGGCGGCCTCTTGTCGCAAGGGAAGCCGAGGGCCGCCCAGAACGTGGTGGCATGCAGGTCGCTGGCCAAGCTGAAGATCGACGAGGTTGACCTCAAGGACAAGCGCGTCTTCATCCGGGTGGACTTCAACGTGCCGCAGGACAAGCAGGATCCCAACATCATCACGAACACTGCGCGCATTGATGCCGCCCTTCCCACCATCAAGTACGCCTTGGACAACGGTGCCAAGTCCGTGGTGCTGTGCTCCCATTTGGGCTGCCCGGATGGCCAGTTCAAGTTCTCCATGAAGCCAGTTGCCAAGGTGGTGGAGGAGAAGCTGGGCAGGCCAGTGAAGCTCATGAAGGATGTGATCGGAGAGGACGTTGAGGCTGCGTGCGCGGATCCTGAGCCGGGCACTGTGAGAACTCCCGATTCTACGTTGAGGAGACGGGCAAGGGAAAGGACGCGGATGGCAACAAGGTCAAGGCCGATGATGAGCAGGTGAAGACATTCCGTGCCTCCCTTGCCAAGCTGGCAGACATCTACTGTAGTGATGCCTTCGGAACAGCGCACCGAGCACACAGCTCCATGGTGGGTGAGGGCTTCCCTGTGAAGTGCTCTGGTTTCCTGCTCGCCAAGGAGCTGGACTACTTCGCCAAGGTCGTTGATGCGCCCACCAGGCCGGTGTGCGGTATCCTGGGTGGTGCCAAGGTGGCGGACAAGATTCAGCTGATCATGAACTTGTTGGACAAGGTGGACATCATGATCATTGGAGGTGGAATGGCCTTCACTTTCATCAAGCAGGCTGGCGTGGACATTGGCGATTCCCTGTACGATGAGGAGGGCGCCAAGTTGGTGCCTGAGATCAGGAAGAAGGCGGAGGAGAAGGGTGTGGAGCTTATCCTGCCTGTGGACTTTGTGTGCTCCTCCAAGTTTGGCGAGGATGGAGAGATCAAGGATGGCGACATGAGCACCGGCGTGCCGGATGGGTTCCTGGGCCTGGACATTGGCCCTAAGTCCATTGCCATGAACGATGAGGCCATCAAGAAGTCCAAGACCATCGTGTGGAACGGCCCTATGGGTGTGTTCGAGATGGCTTCCTTTGAGAAGGGCACCAAGCAGATGATGGAGACCATCGTGGAGGTCACAAAGGAGGGTGCCGCCTCGGTGATCGGCGGTGGCGACACCGCCACGGCCTGCAAGAAGTACGACACCGTGGACAAGGTCTCCCACTGCAGCACTGGCGGTGGTGCCTCCTTGGAGTTGCTTGAGGGCAAGGTGCTGCCTGGAGTGGCCACCCTGGATGACTCCAAGGCGCTTGCGGATGCATAGGCACATAGGTTAGGCACTTTTAACTCTTGACTCAATGAAGGGTCAAGTGACCACTTCTGCTCATGCAAGAGCAATCTCTAGATTTTCCCTCAGTGCTGTAAACACAGCGCGGGCAGCCAACTTTTCGATAAACTTATTGATGCTTAGCACAAATCAGGAGTCGGTTGCAGTCGTAATGCGCTTCGTGCTTGAACACCTGACATCTTGCGCACGTTTCATGCTTGTATCAGTTTGTCTTGGTTCTTCTTTGAGCATGACTTGACACGTTTGAGGTTCTTGTGAAGCAGAGCACCGGGTGATAGCACTTTGGGAACGCCCCTTGTCCACTTCAGCGTCTTCTATGCTTGTATATTGCTTGTCAAGATGTTCAGCAATCATTGGTGATGGAGTGTTGGCTTCGGAAGATGCTGCTGTGGACATGAGTGTGCTGGCTAACAGGCTCAGCACATTGCGAAGGCTCTTAGAAAGCATCAAGGTTTGTCCCAATTTTTTAGGCCCCCTCCGGCCATGTCGGCAGGGAGGTTGATCTTGAAGACTGACCTCTGAGCAACGCCTTGACTGCGCCTGGCTCTAAATGTAGGGGAGCTGGTTCAGTGCTTGCATGCGTTGCAAGCCTGGGGCTCGGAGTAACCTACGGTCCAGCCGGAAGCGAAGGCAACCGTTTTTTGTTGCTCCATTTTATTTTTTACTTTTTGTTTTTCGGTCCCTTCTTGTTCTCTGCCTACGGCGCTCACATTTCGCAGCCCCCAAGAAAACATAGTGATGGTCAGTCTGGTTTTTCGGATCCGGAGAATTCCTGGGTTGACCCGGTCCCACGGAACTGTTGACGGTTCTCTGCGTATTTGGAGCCTCTTGAGGAAGGTCTGAACGTCCTTCAGTCGCCAAGCGCCCAAGGCACCATCTTCTCATGGCCACATCCTGTGGCCACCAGGCGCGAAGCTGAGCGTCGCATGGCTCGCCGAAAGCAGGCCACATCAAGAGCAATGGCACCATTTTGGTTGGTAGGTGAATTCACCACCCATTTTTGGAACCTATAGTGGGGATTGAATCGGATGTTCACTGGGGGGGACTATTTGGGTTTTGACCCGTGGCCATATTTGTTCCGTTTGACAAACCCTAATGTGTCAAATGGGCCGGTTGTAGGACTGACCCCAAACGCAGGATCTTGGGCTCCGCATCGTGATCCTTGCGGGGAACGGAGAAGTCTGAGAGCACGTTAATCAGATGATTCTCCCTTGAACTTCTGGGTCCACCATGCATTGGAGGCATGGAGGTCTCAGTTAGACGCTGGCGCCATGGCTTTGAACTCTGTCAGGTGTAACTCTTCAATGCAGCGGAATGCGCGACCTGGCAAGAAGCGCCGATCGGATCGATTGAGCTGGCTAGGCCAGCCGATGCTCTTTGCAAAGGAGAACACACCAAGGCCACTTGCAATCAACAACCCAAATGGCGCACACAAACACGCACACCATTGCAGTGACGTTGAATGAGTTTCTCAAACAAAGCAAACAAGGAACATGCCCCTTTCCTGGAACCTCCAAGACTTCGAGAGTCCCAGATGAAGCATCCTCCAAATGGTTGCCTTTCCCTTTGGGTTCAGTCTTTTTCTGGCAGCATCGCTGAAGAAACCAATCAGGGTCACGTGTTCTCACCGTGCCAAAATGTGTGTGTGTGTGTGCGGAGTGGCAGAAAACCCTGCCACCAAAACTTTTTTCTTCAGCAGGGGGCGCGGGCAGCATTGAAGGGACCTGCGCCAACGAAGACGCCCTTCTTTGCTGGTGAATCCAACGGGACGCCGTTGGACGTACCTGCAATTGTGATGTTTGTGAATGTCCTTTTGGTCCCCTCCCTGAACCGCCGTTGCTTCCTTGATTCTGTGTTCAAGTAACTAGAGTGAAGCTGAGTGACCTGCAAGCCGAAACTTATCGCACTCGAGACTCATCAGTTGTACTCGAGACTCATCAGTTGTACTCGAGACTCATCAGTTGTACTCGAACGATTAGCACCCTCCCTTGGGAGTTGAAGTGTGAATACCCCAGCTTGGGGGAACCTCGGGTGTACCCATCGCGCGACCCCGGGCCGGTTCGCCGGAAAATTTGACCTCAACGTTCATATCACAGTCCAGCGGAATTTCACGATTTAAGCAGGAACGAGGTTTCACTAAAGGGAAGACAGCCGTCAGTTCATAGCTAAGTCTCACTAACTCTGATGATGAGCATTGACTTGTGCTTGCCATGCGTTGTCTTGCATCTTGTCGGATTCACTTTTCTCAAGATTAAGTTGTCACGGCTTTTGAGCTTGTTGAACCATCATGTCTCGACGGGATGATCGTGACAGATCTAGAACTCGGCGCAAGTACAACCTCAGAAAGCATGGCTTACTCCACCTCAAAAGTGGCAACCTGGTGACGGCATGTTGGACAAGAACCAACTCTACTCGGCATTTCCAACTGGCTACTGAGGCCATTTGCTCACGGGAGATTTGTGACGTGGGAGGGATTTTGCACCCGCACCGAGGTCTTGCTTTGGAGCACTTGTTCGAAGTTGCTCCGTCGATCCCAGCCCCTCAACCTGCTAAGACTTGGCCAACTTGCTGGGACTCAACATTGATGACTTCTATCAGCGGATCAAGGTCCACGAGCACTTGGGCAATCTTGTCCTTCAGTTTCTTCAACAACATCATCAAACTCTCATGCCCCATGCTCAGGAAGATGAGATGCTTCAGAAGTACAACAATCTCCAACGTGCGCACGAGTTGCTCCAGGCACAGTACTCGGCGTCGCAGAGATCGTCGCCTCCTTCTACGATGACATCCCAGAAAGATGATGCAGAGTTCCCACCAGCTCGCTGCCCACGGTAGGTGCGGCAGCCCTTGACGGCAGGTGATTTGATGTTCCACCTCAGCAACAGCCTCGGATTATCCAATCTCTTCACGGACTGTCAACCCCGCCTTCCAAGCAAGCAACATCAGTTGCTCACCATGCACAGCACGCCTGAAGACATCATCAAGCACTACACCTGGGCCAGTGATCAGCCACGATTCTACCTCAAGCAGGCTCCTACTACTACTACCGTGCCATCGCTGATCAAGTGGGCCAATCACCCCTCCCGTCTCAACGGCAACAAGTCTCTGGATCCCATGGCAGTTCTCCTGCAAGCGCGTCAACGTTTGCCAAAAGGTGATGCTCCCACGTTTGCTTCAATGGCCTCTTTGTGGGGACTGGAGCCAGGCTACACCACCAAGCTCTCGGACAAAGCGCTGTGCCTGCTGATTGTGGCAGCTCGACTTCTTACCGGATGAAGTGTTTTTGCTTGTCAAATATGAGCCCGGAGTGGCCACTTTGCAGCGTTTGAAAATTTGTCAGCGTTTGACTTGGGTGCTTGTCATGTCTTGTGAGTTGCTTGTTGCTGCACTTGTCTGTGACATGCATGTCGCTGCCACCTTGTAGCTGCAAGTGGTCAGTCATGCATCATGTGGACTGAGCTTCAACGCAGCGGGATCTTCGATGACGTTGCACAATGGCACTCCTTGGCTACTTTTCTGGACACTTTAACGTTTTTCTCCGCATGTTGGCGGTTCTGCTTCCCTGGACTTCAACTACCAACAGCACACCTTGATGAGTATGAATCGATTCAACAATTACCTCAGTTGCACCTCATCCTGGAAGTGTTCACCCTGGTTCGCATTGCGCTTCAGATTCCGATGACTTCCATGTCACATACCCGTCACACGGTTGCGAACAGATATGAGATCCACAGATGCTGGATCACCTCGTATCTCCTGATTTGCTTTTTGCAGCGACTCATTTACATACCACCGTTCTTTGAGGTCCTTCACTTCTACAAGACGTGATTGCTGTGTGAAGTCATGCACTCCACTTTCGCTGATATAAAACACCTCAAATCCCTACGGTCTCGCCTTCCGGACCTGTGTGACTTCATTCAAGATCCGGGACATCATGTCCATACTACATTGGCGCTACCGATCAGGATGTTCTACGCAGAGCGCTTCACTATTGGAAGAGATCCAACAACTACTGGCTTTTCTGTGCGGTTCCGGTCGAGATCAAGCTTCCCACTTCCTCGGTGCAGGTCCAAGAAAGCAAGTGGCAGTACATGCTGCGCCCGCATTTAAATGCACCGTGGGTACACAGACTTCTTTGGAAAATTGGCTTCCGTGAACATCTGGTTGACTTTCGTCGTCATTCGTTATCATCGCCTACGTCATTATCCCTTCACAAGCGGTTTCGGCGACGACTACATCCTGATCTACATCGTCAACCGCAGCCAGAGATGCTGGATGACATCCAAGCACACTATTCTATTTTGTATCGGCTGGGATCCAACACTGGTGCGTCGTTTCAAACCATGCGTGAACTTTTATCGGCGGCTTTCCCTTCCACTCAGCTCTACTATTTCCTGCGGCTTTCCTCCTTTGTCAATGAACCTTTTCGCTCCAAGGCTCAGAAGCTTCTCGCCCAGGTCTTGCACAATCCACCATGACACAATTACTTCTTCCACCTCTACATGTTCGAGACTGGAAAGCTAAGCTTGGAACCTGGTTGCAGCGGTGGGTGGCATCTCATCGTGGTCTTTTTCCTTCCTTATTTCTTCCTAAGATCCGGGTTGTGGAAACTCGCAGTGCCACCTTGGGAGACCGGATCTACAACTACTGCAAATGGCAACGAAGATGGACTCCGGATACTTCTTTCCCGTGTCGCTGCATTGACCTGGACGACCGGACCACTTCTCATGCACATTCTCATGCGGTGATCTTGGATGAGTTTTCATGCATCAACGCTGACATTGACTCCGACATCATGACGGCATCCATGAAGGATCAATATTTTGGTGATGTTAACAAACTTCAACAACGCTTTGACATGCAGCAACCCATTCTGGCGGAGTTGTTTGCTGCACATCGATCCAATGTCCGAGACCGAGCTGACTGCATCATACCACTCGTGCCCTGGAGTCGTGGGTTTTCATTCCAGCGGATCATTTCCCTTCGCGTGCTCGTGTGATCTGCCCATCCTTGTTTTCCATGCTGTTGCACAAGACCTTTTGCACAGGTGAAGTATTTGCATTATGCCGCGAGTTTGCCGCATCTTTTCGCGCTGAAGTTGTAACTATGATACCTGCTCGACTACAACACCGCTATGCATGGGGACTTCGACTTCATGCACCTTTGCCCACAGCTCGCATTCTGCCCAAACCGACTAAAGACTGGCTCAAAGCCAGACCAATCATTTCCTTTTTCCGCACATGGGCAGCACCCCTCCTCACGGTCTTCAGTGCCCTTGTCTTTGAGCTCACCAAGGTCACCTTTCCGGATGTTCCAGGTCAACTTTCAGTTCAGGAGCTGGTACAACAACTTTGGGATGCTCTGTCGTACGCGGACCCTACGGAATATATACAGTTGGTATCACACGATCTGTCCGGCTTCTTCACATCCATTCCCACAGAACGTTTTCACCAAGCTTCAGGTTTGACTCCGCCGCTATGATCAGGTGGTAGGTCTACGCAACACTTCACATTGGTCGGTCTATGAGGTGAAGTCGGATCATTGGCGTCGCATGTTTAAAAGAAAATGGCGCCGTCAAACCAAAGTTCCCCGGACTTTTCGTGAGGAGGACCTTCAGTGTCTCCTTGACTTCGTCATCGACAACAGTCACTTCGAGATCAACGGCTACTTGTTCAGGGAGGAACGCGGCGTTGCCATAGGATCACCAGCTGCTCCTCTGTGCAACCTCGTTGCTACGGTTGAGGACTGTCTGGCATCAAACCATGGCCTCTCTTAGGTTTCAAATGCCAGACTTTGGTGTGATCTGGCACGAGCGCTATGTCGACAATCGCTTCATACTATTACGGGATGCAGCGCCCTCGACAGCAGTCCTTCGGAACTTTCTGTCCTTGGAATTTTATCGTCCTCCAGTCATGCTGGAGACCCAAAATGATACCAAAGTGCTAGGGCACATGTGTGGTTCATCCTCCAGGACTATCACACCACAGCTGCCCGTCATCCTTCTCAGATCAAAGGGATGCGAAGTGCCAATGATCAGATGTTTACTTACTCCTCGTGGTCATCCCGATCGTGGCTCATTGTGCGTGAAGCTCAGCCAGCAATCCAACAACAGATTGGCCTTGATGCTCTCAAACGTCTTTATGAAGCCAAAGGCTTCAATCCTGACCTCCTACGTGATGTCCGGCGACGAGTTGCACCAAAATGAGCATGTTGAATCGTTGTGCGCGTTTGGTCTCGGCGTTGCCTCTTTGCTTGTGCGCTTGTGTGTGATTGTGTGCATGTTTGTAGTTGGCTCGGACTCTGTGGTTGTTTGCTTTT